AGAAGTATTATTTGAGTTGATTTCTCGCTGTCCTTTGTAGAGAAACTAACTAAGGAGATTTTTTCGGTTACGAAAGCATTACAAGTGTTTCATCGAACTTGCACAAGACTCTCAGCCAAATGCTAGGCTCTTCACATTTAAGCGTTTCGAAGAAGAATCTGTAATCGAGCACTTTTTGCTTGATTCTTTAGACTTTTGCTTTCAGTGATGTCACTCAAACCGGGATCTTTTCTTTTTGGAAATTGTGAGCGCTGATCAAACAGTTCAGCGAGCTTTTTTCTCAGACAAAAGGGATTCTGATGGACCAATTAAATTTCAGCATCTTGCAGCACTAATTTAGAATCCCACTTCTAAGAAATGCATCTCTTTTTCAAAGGAATTGAGCTCTTTTGGTGCATATAGATTCAAATGTAGAATGCTTCTCATACGGAAAACTGTAAAATTCTGATCATTTGCACATCTTACCTTGTGTTAAAATCAGCGTAAAAAATGGAGGAAGGAAGAGAAGCTATAAATAACCCTGAGAAAATCCATAATGCTGATGTATCCTTAGATTAACCAATCATCTCCTCTATAAGGTTTTTTTTCTAAATGGAACTGCATTTTAAGGTTTTACTTGGTGAGCACAAAGAGACAAAGGAACTCTTTGCAATAAAAGTGCTGAAGAAGGACGTGATTATCCAAGATGACGATATTGAGTGTACAATGACTGAAAAACGGGTATTGGCATTACCTGAAAAGCCGCCATTTTTAGTGTCTCTTCACAGCTGCTTCCAAACAATGGTATTTCGTTTCGTTTTCTCTTTGAACATTTTGAAATTATTTCCTTTAGGATCGTCTATACTTCGTCATGGAATTTGTAAATGGCGGTGATTTAATGTATCAAATACAGCAAATAGGGAAGTTTAAAGAACCTGTAGCTGTGTAAGTTTCGCATTATTAGGATCTACGCCGCTCATTTACTAGAAATTTTCAGATTCTACGCAGCTGAAATTGCCGTTGGTTTGTTCTTCCTGCATTCTAAAGGAGTAATTTATAGAGATCTCAAACTAGATAATGTTATGTTAGAAAAGGATGGTCATATCAAGGTTAGTCAATGTGCTTCTATAAACTATCTGGTTAAAAGACAACGTCTTAGTCATCAACTGAAGTTAACCATATTTTAGAAGGAATCAGACTAACTCATTTCTTAGTAAAGAGTTTACGCAGCGGTTGATTGGTTTTAAATTGGTTTACTGTATGTGAACTTTAGCGATGTAATCGTACCTTAATGGTTTTGTAAAGTAAATGAATCTAGTATCGGCGAACAAGTTTGTTAGAGGAGGACAGATGCAGTTTGTTACATTAATTATTAGGGCCTTAGTTATACATTTCATTGTAAAATGGAACTTTTATCAAAAGAAATAGGTTACGAGTTTGTGGCAAAATTAACTA